TCAGCCCCATCTACCTCACAGGGTGCCTGTTGTGGGGAGGGAAAGGGAAAAGAGCTTGTAAGCTGCTCTGAGACTCTTGAGTGAAGGGCGGGGTATAAATCCAATCTCCTCCTCCTCCTCTTCCTCCCTTTTCTTTCACTGTTTCTTCGTTATTTGCGACCCCGTAGGGCTTTCAAGGCAGGAGACATTCAGAGGCAGTTTGTCTCTGCATAGCAACCCTGGACTTCTTTAGTGGTCTCCCATCCAAATGCTCCCCAGGGCTGGCCCTGCTTAGCTTCCAAGATCTAAGCAGTTATGTATCTGCTTGTTAACTTCATTCTTCTGACCGGACTTGTCCCTGTGAAGTTATTAAAGGTAATAACAGCAGGTTGGTTTGGTAACCCTGTGAATTCCTGCCTCCTCCTGGGCATCGCTACCCTGAAGCCAAATGAGGGTTCCCCCCAGCTCAGTCCAGCGTCTCCGCAAGGGAATGTAGAAACTGCTCCCAGCTGAAAGAACTAACTGTAGGGTTAGGCCTGAACGGGCCCAGCCCTCGATTAACTGGTATGAGATGCTGCAAGACAGGGTGTTGGGAGATCTGCCCGCAGGCGGGTTCAGCACACCCTGAGAACTAACTGTTCTGGTCACTGAAGTTTCACCTGTGCGCAAATAGTTGAATTAATTACATGCGTGCGTCAGCTTTTCTGTCTGGCATGAATGAACGGCAAAGGCAGCCATGGTTTTCTCTTTGGGAAGGCTCCTTGCCCTCCCATCCCCGCCAGTAGTCCGGGGAGAACCCAACGGTCGAGCAGAGCTGCTCTTACTGGCCAGTGGCCACCAGTTTCCAGTTGGGTTTCGCCAGCGAAGAATTTGAGCGTGGGGTAGCATGGCAGACGACAGTCCACTGGGAGACGCCTCCTTTTGGTTACGGCATTAATAGTTCTGTTTTTACAAACGGCAGCCACCCTTTATGAACCCAGGCTCTGAGGAACCTGGTTGCTCCTAAGGATTGTGCGCCTGGATTGGATCTTAGTGGTTCAGTCAGATGGTCTTTGTAACTGGTAGATGGATGGATGGACCTCCGACATTGACAGATGGTTTCTCTTAGCAAAAACGTACGTGGGCATACAACTGCAGTGCCTTTCAACTCTTGAGAGTGTAGTTTCTGATGATAAAGATTGAGTTTGGTGTAGTGGTTAAGTGCGTGGACTCTAATCTGGGAGAACCAGGTCTGATTCCCCACTCCTCCACTTGCAGCTGCTGGATGACCTTGGGCAACCCATAGTTCTGTCAGTGCTGTTCTCTCAAGGGTAGTTCTGGAAAGAGCTCTCTCAGCCCCACCTACCTCCCAGGTAGTGTTCCCTCTAAGCTGAGTTTGTGTGAGCTAGCTCACAGGTTTTTAGCCTCCAGCTCACACATTTTTGTCTTCGCTCAGGAAGGACGGCTCCAGAGCAAACTCATTGATGCAGCAGCCAAATCGCTTGCTCACAACCTTTAATGCCAGTAGCTCACAAAGTAGAATTTTTGCTCACAAGACTCCACAGGTTAGATGGAGCATTGCTCCCAGGGTGTCTGTTGTGGGGAGGGGAAAGGAAAGGAGTTTGTAAGCTGCTCTGAGACACTAAGTGAAGCGCAGGATATAAATCCAAGCTCCTCCTCCTCTTCTTTATTAGTCAGTGGGCTGAAGCTATAAGAGAGAGTGGCTGGCCACTGAATGATGGCTTGAGACCTCAGTTCCTTAGCCGCCTTGTTATTCTAAAGCTGTGAAAAGATAATATCTGCCTGGGTGCTCTTTGGAAATAAACTTGTCACTCGAGTAAGGCAAAGTTGGCCTGTGCCCTGCTTGGAGCCCTCCACAGCCAACGGCTCTGATTGCTTCTGGTGTCACTGTGCCACGAAGTGTGGTCATCCACACAGGATTTTTAAAAACAAAAACGGTGAAGCTTTTCTTTCATGAAGAGGCAGCGTGCATGGCATGAGCGGGACTCTTAATGATTTTTTTAAAATTTTGTCAAGCTACAGCCCCCCAGAAGTCATGCAGGGATATTAACTATGGTAGTTGAAAGCTGAGAATGGAGTGACTTTTTAGTTTGCACTCCAAGGAGTGCTGCGTGAAGGAAGTTCACGGGAGACAAAATATTGCTTCACCCTCTTAGGTGTTTAAATTGGCAGTGGAATTCTGGGGAGGAGTCCAAGTATACGCTTTCTTCCTCCTTCCCTGCAAATGCAAAACAGTTTTCTTTACTCCTGCCCAGCCGGTGTGCAGATAGGCATCTCAGCCGCTGAACTGAAACCGGATATTTATTGGGCATGTGTATACTTGGATGGCTGATAATGGGTTCCAGTCTGGAGTGGCTTAGACCGAAAACAATTCCGGCGTTCTTTTTTTGAGAAGCTCCTAAAATGTGTTCCTGTACATTCCAGCCTTGTAAGAGCCCCGTAAAGTTAGATATTACTGTTTATATGCATCTGCAGATCATGTTAGCTTCTGCGTTTGTAGAAGACACTTCTGTTTATCTTGAATTCACATTCCAGGTATTTGGAGGGGTGACTTCTGTCTGGTGTAGTGGTTTAAGTGCGTGATTCTTAACCCTACAGATTCTGTCCAGTCAGATAGAACACCTAAGCTAGACCGCTTTCACACTCTGACAAGACTCTTTAGTTCACATGCTCACATGTGGGAGGAGAACCTGCACACAAACAAGAAAGCAACCCACTTGACCGGAAGGAGCCCAGTCAGGAGCCCCAAGGGGATGTTTGCAGCCCCCCCACCTTGGGCAGCTTTAAATTCCATGCCCTTGGCATGCAATAAAGCCAGGTAATGACTTATCCACATTTATACCTTGCCTTTCTCCCCCACTGGAGACCCCCAAAGCATCTCTTCTCTTCCTCGCCTCCATTTTATCCCTTGCCCCAGACTGAGAGTTCCTATAAGAACATAAGAGAAGCCAGTGCTGGATCAGGCCAAGGGCCCATCCAGTCCAACACTCTGTGTGTCACACAGGGGCCAAAAATACCAGGTGCCATCAGGAGGTCCAGCAGCAGGGCCAGGACACTAGAAACCCTCCCACTGTTGCCTCCCCCCCAAGCACCAAGAAGACAGAGCATCCCTTGCCCCAAACTGAGAGTTCCAGAAGAACATAAGAGAAGCCCATGTTGGATCAGGCCAGTGGCCCCTCCAGTCTAACACTCTGTGTCACACAGTGGCCAAAAATACCAGGTGCCATCAGGAGGTCCATCAGTGGGGCCAGGACACTGGAAGCCCTCCCACTGTTGCTCCCGCCCGAACACCAAGAATATAGAGCATCCCTTGCCCCAGACCGAGAGTTCCTATAAGAACATAAGAGAAGCCAATGTTGGATCAGGCCAGTGGCCCCTCCAGTCCAACACACTGTGTCACACAGTGGCCAAAAATACTGGGTGCCATCAGGAGGTCCAGCAGTGGGGCCAGGACACTGGAAGCCCTCCCACTGTTGCCTCCACCCAAGCACCAAGAATATAGAGCATCCCTTGCCCCAGACCGAGAGTTCCTATAAGAACATAAGAGGAGCCAATGTTGGATCAGGCCAGTGGCCCCTCCAGTCCAACACACTGTATCACACAGTGGCCAAAAATACCAGGTGCCATCAGGAGGTCCATCAGTGGGGACAGGACACTGGAAGCCCCACTGTTGCTCCCCCCCAACACCAAGAATATAGAGCATCCCTTGCCCCAGACCGAGAGTTCCTATAAGAACATAAGAGAAGCCAATGTTGGATCAGGCCAATGGCCCCTCCAGTCCAACACTCCGTGTCACACAGTGGCCAAAAATACCAGGTGCCATCAGGAGGTCCATCAGTGGGGACAGGACACTGGAAGCCCCACTGTTGCTCCCCCCCTCCCCCAACACCAAGAATACAGAGCATCACTTGCCCCAGGTTCATGTAGCTCAAAAGAGTGGCAAAGAGTTGTGGGCAAGATCTGGGAAACCAGGTGGTGGGCACCCACTGCCCCAGCCCCCCACCTTCATCTTTTGCTCCCTCATCACTAGAATATCCTTCAGCCTAATCTGATTTTTTTCCCTTTTTCATTCAAGCGACTGTAAGACTTGTCTTTTCCTTTTGCTCTGGATGTGAAGTCAGGCAGTTCTCTGTCTGTGGAGTGCTTTGGCTCAATCTGCTGCCCAGCTTCAAGTTATTTAAACTGTCCACAGCGCTGTTTTCTATCCTGTTACACAATGGCAAACGTCGTTCCCACATTCCCAAGTTAGCAGAACACTGATGGAAAAGCGAGTTTATGATGCTTTGCAGGCTTTCCGTGGCGTCACAGGTTTACCTACTGGGACGCATTTCTCCTATTTGAGAACCTGTTAAAATACTTGTGGCCATTCTAAAAACATAGCTAACCTAAACCGCGGCTGCATTTAAACATCGGGACAAACGTCTTGTTGTTTGTGAAAAGGTGGGCTTGTGTGCTCTGCCACACGGTGTAGGCACCTTGGTTTTTGAGTGAGTGAGCTTGTTTGGCTTAACGGTTTAGGCTCCCCACATGAGGGGAGGGAGTCAGTTCCAATTCACCAGATCTGTACATTTTTGGATATTGTGGGAAGTTAAAGTTGAAGTTGTCTTCATGTAAAAGGGGAGAGGAGGAGTGTTTGTGAGAAAAGCATTCGCTGTGCTCTGTGTTGGTGAGCGGTGCAAAGTGCAGGAAAACCTGTAACATTAATGGGGAGGAGGGTGTGAAATGTGGAGGACAAGGGTAACGGCACCTTGAACCTGAATGGCACTTTGATAGCAAAAGAAGTAAAACACACTTGGAAGTTCAAGTATTTTCCTCCTTCGCTGATTCACCACCATGCTGCCTGTTCCTAATTTTAGTCTGCTGGAGCGCCTGATGCTGTAAATGCTTTGTGACAAATGTCATGTTTTATATAACTTTTTGAACCGCAGTGAGATGTGTGTAGGTTTAAAAAAGGAGACTTGCTTATGCAACCGTGTCACAGTCTGAACTAAACATCTTTTCTGCTTTTCTCCCCGCAATAGTGTGCAGGTCTAACAAAAGTCCCTGGGTCTGTCTGACTTGCTCGAGTGTCCACTGTGGAAGGTGGGTATCGTAAGACTGTGGCTGCACACTCCGTTTTAGTATCATGGGTGGCCAGCTGGTGGCCCGAATGCAACAATTCACACAGGGGAGGAGGGGAGTCTGCAGCTCACCTGGACAAGAGCAGTATGGGCCGTTTGCATGGCATTACTCGTGTGGAAGGGGCTGCGGTGGCTCAGTGGTTAAGATGCTGAGTTGCAGACCGGAAGGTCGGTAGTTCGGCAGTTCGGGACCCGAGTGCTGCGTGATGGAGTGAGCTCCTGTTTCTGGCCGCAGCTCCTGCCAAGCTAGCAGTTCGAAAGCAAGAAATTGCAAGTAGATAAATAGGTACCGCTTCAGTGGGAAGGTAACAGCGTTCCGTGCCCCTCGACGTCCAGTCATGCTGGTCACATGACCACGGAGACGTCTTCAGACAGCGCTGGCTCTTCGGCTTTGAAACAGAGACGAGCACTGCACCCTTGGAGTCAGATTCGACTGGCTTTTGAGCAAGGGAAACCTTCACCTATTTGTGTTGAGACATAAACCTGCGTGGCTGCCTGCTAGTCCCCAGTGCAAGTCTGCTTCCAGGAAAGCAGAGGAACCACTACAAAGCTTGAGTAGCTCCAGAGGTACCATGTGCACAGCAATGCTCCCTCTAAGCTGTGGAGTCCTTTGAGCAAAAATTCTACTTTGTGAGCAGGTGATTAAACTTGTGAGCAGGTGATTTGGCTAGTGCATCAATTAGGTTGCTCTGGAGCCCTCCTTCCTGAGGGAAGACAAAAATGTGTGAGCCGGAGGGTAAAAAACTGTGAGCTGGCTCATACCAACTCAGCTTAGAGGGAACACTGGTGCACAGTAGAGTGACGTGCCACGCTTGCCCAAAGAGGCGAAGGGTGAATGTTGTCAGGATTTGGCCAAGGGAAAGGAGGCACGGCTTCCCCTTGGAGGAGACAGTCCAGCCCAGAGGCTGCTCCTTAAAAAAGCATAAATGTGTTTGACTCTTCCTGAGTGCAGAAAAAGAAGTAAAAGTGCTTTGCAATAAGAAGGTTTAAGGCAAACCACTGCCCTTTTAATTAAATGGCAGATAATCCATAAGAACATAAGAAACGCCAGTGTTGGATCAAACCAATGGCCCATTCAGTCCAACACTCTGGGTCACACAGTGGCCAAAAACACCAGGTGCCCTCAGGAGGTCCGGCAGTGGGGCCAGGACACTAGAAGCCCTCCCACTGGTGCCCCCCAAGCACCAAGATGACAGAGCATCACCTGCCCCAGAGTTCCCACCTATACCTTGTGGCTAATAGCCACTGATGGACCTCTGCTCCATATGTTGATCCAATCCCCTCTTGAAGCCGTCCATGCTTGTAGCCACTGCCATCTCCCGTGGCAGTGAATTCCATGTGTTCTTTGGGTGAGTTTTATTGCAGGATTTCTGATATCTTATATCGAACTGACAAAAAACAAAACCCTTTGGAGCAAAAACAGAAAAGCAGTTCCTAATCACGGTAGAGTGTTTTTAAAAACTGCTTGGATGTTTGCACTTTACGCCTAAGAGAACTTGGACAATCAGTGTATGGAAGGAGAAGTGAACGCCGTCATAATTAGAGCTCACTCGGTGATAAGAGTATTAGGGAGGACGTCTTCTATGACCTAACCTTTCTGCGGCTTCCCTTTCAGGTATGTGAATGGCCACGCAAAGAAACATTACGAAGATGCCCAGGTCCCTTTAGCCAGCCTCAAGAGATCAGAGAAGCCCGAGAAAGTTCAGCATACGGTGTGCATGGATTGCAGTAGTTACAGCACTTACTGGTAAGTGGATGTTCCTAGCATTTGGGACGATTGCATTTCTTGTAGTGCTTTTCATTAAGGGGAGTCAGTTTGATGAAGTGGTTTAGTGCATGGACTCTAATCTGGGAGAACCGGGTCTGATTCCCCACCCCTTCACAGGCAGCAGCAGCTGGATGACCTCGGGGAAGCCGTAGTTCTGTCAGAGCTGTTCTTGAAAAAGAGCAGTTCTCTCAGAGCTCTCTCAGCCGGACCTACCTCCCAGGGGGTTTGTTGTGGGAAGGGAAAGGAGTTTGTAAGCCACTCTGAGACTCCTTTGGGTAGTGAAGGGCGGGGTATAAAGCCAATCTCCTCTTCTCTTCTTCATTTGTCAGTGCTCAAAGCGCTCAGCCTGGAAACTTGTGATGTACTTCTTGCTGTTAGCCTCTGTGTCACCTAGCTTGTGTGCGCGTGTGTTTATATTGCTAACCCGCCCTATGTTGGAGGCTCAAGACAGGTGAAAGCAGCACCCAAAGGATCTTCGTAAATCTTGAATGTCAGGCTTCTCAGTTGCTGGGAGAGTCAGTCTCGTTCGGCCTGCTTGTTGCACTTGGAAGCTCAGCCTGCCTTGCCCAAACACGCACCAGTCCCTCCCCGCCTACTTGGAATACCACAAATCACATTTTGACTTTCGCAAGCGATCGAGTCCCTTAACGGGAAACTTCCTGGTGTTGGTCATGTTGCATAATAAGATGAGAGCCGTATGATCTTTAAACGCAGCCGTTTGTCAGGGTCTCGGTGAGACATGGTTACTGACCAAAGATGAGAGCCGTATGATCTTTAAACGTGGCCGTTTGTCAGGGTCTCGGTGAGACATGGTTGTCGGCTTGCCTGTCTGCATGTCTGAGCTGCAGCATCGTGATACACTGGAAGCCGGCAGCGGGTGCCTCCCTCTCCCCAGCAGTGTTCCCTCTAAGCTGAGTCAGTGTGAGCTGGCTCCCAGTTTTTTAGCCTCCAGCTCACACGTCTTTGTCTTAGCTCAGGAAGGATGGCTCCAGAGCCAACTAATTTATGCAGCAGCCAACTTGCTCGCTCACAACTTTAATGCTGGTAGCTCAGAATATAGACTTTTTGCTCACAGGACTCCACAGCTTAGAGGGAGCATTGCTCCCCAGGGCCATGATTTGCCCTAGCTGATGTGTTATCTCGAGTGGCGTGGCTGCCGCCGCCACTGCAACCACGGCTGCACTTCTCAGGACGATGCAGGGATCTGCCACCCACGTGACTACGACAGATGGTGTGGATTACGATCCTGCTGGCGGCGTGGGAATGAAGGGCCGTCGCCAGCACGGCACAGACCCTTTCGACTTGGCACAGGGACGGACATGGCTGCTCTTCCTGATAACATGTAAACTGGGGTGCAGATGGGGCAGCTCTCTCTTCTTTTGATCCCCCGTGATGCGTTTCTGCCCCCCCCCCATTATCTCTCTTCTGTCTGGTCGTCATGTTCTGAGGCTGGTTCGTGTGGCTGGAAACGGCTGTCCTCTTCCTTCTCCCGCTTCCTGTCTTGCTTGCCTCCCTCGAGGCTTCTCACACGCTGCTTAGCAAGCCGAACACGCCCAGTCTGTCCTCGTGTGACCCTCTTTCTAGACCCCGGCAAGCAAAGTGTTGTATTGAGTTAAAACTGAAACATAGCCAGTGTACTGGTGGTTGTTAAAAGCCAGCCCAAACATGAAGGTTTCACAGCGCCCTTGGAAGAGAGCCAGTTTGGTGTAGTGGTTAGGAGCGTGGACTCTAATCTGGGAGAACCGGGTTTGATTCCCCACTCCTCCACACGTAGCTGCTGGCGTGAGCTTCACAAGTTCTCTCAGATCTGCTCTCTCAAGCATTTCTGGTGTAGTGGTTAGGAGCACGGACTCTTATCTGGGAGAACCGGGTTTAATTCCCCATGCTTCCACAGGCAGCTGCTGGTGTGACCTTAGGTTGGTCACAAGTTATTTTGGAGCTGTTCTCTCAGGAGCAGTTCTCTCAGAGCTCTCTCAGCCCCACCTCCCTCACAGGGTGTCTGCTGTGGGGAGGGGAAGGGAAAGGAGATTGTAAGACACTCTTGAGACTCCTTCGGGTAGTATAAGTCCAATCTCTCCCTCTTCTTCTTCCTCTTCTTTGCATCAGAGTTCAGACAGGGTGTAAGCCAAGGACTTCCTCAGTAGCGCAGCCACCACAGAGAGCTCCTGTCTTGGATGCCTTGGCAATGTTAGCTCCATGATCCAAGCCCCTGAAATGTTCAGGTTGCCCTTTCTGGTGTGGTCTTCCTTGCTGAAGAGATTTCATGTCTCTTGTGTGAGTGGAGAGAATTAGTCTTTGGGTAGGGGCGGAGGAGGGGAGGGAGGCAGAATTTGAATACTTGTTTCTTATTTCCCCAAAAGAATTATTTCTTGAAATTATGCATTAAAAATCACAAATCAGGCAGATATGGCGTCTCCATCATTAAACTAGAATGTTCCCCCCACTTTTCTGGTTTGTAGGCATTTTCTAAAGTTACATGTGTCATGTGGTCGGGAGCCTAGGTGCTTACATTTTTAAAAATGCATCTTGACATTTCAGTATACCCGTTTTTATATCTTAAATATCTATTTTTGCAGCCATGCCTGCTTCTTCTTATAAAGAGAGCTGCCGCCGCCGCCACAAGTCCATGTCCATTATTAATCAAATAAGGCCCTGTATGCCAAAGGGTACATCAGATTCAGGCTGTGCAGAAGCTGTAGAAGATGATCAGTCCTTTAAACGTACGATCACTTAAGGTGGTACCTGCAGAAGTGTGCCTGCACACGGAAGCTTATGCCCAGAATTAAACCTGTTGGTCTTAAAGATGCCACTGGTCTCAAACTTCATTCTGTTGCTTCAGACCAACATGGCTATTCACCTGAATCCACTTAAGGTAGTGAAAGCAGAAAAGAGCCAGAGCAGAGTCCAGGAGCACCTTAAAGACTAACAAAATATGTGGCAGGGTATGAGCTTTTGTGAGTCACGGCTCACTTCTTCAGACTCAGATACCTGAAGAGGTGAGCAGTGACTCATGAAAGCACCTCCCCTGCCACCGATTTTGTTTGCCTTTAAGGTCCTGCTGGACTCTTGCTCTCTTTTCTACTGCTACAGACAGACTAACACGGTGACCCATCTTGAAGGTAGTGAAAGTTTAGCATAATAAATGGTAATAAATATATGTTTGCATCCTTTTAAAAAAAAAAGAAAGAAAGAAAAAGGTTGCAAATAGCAGCCTACTCGGCAGCGTGTCTGTTTACATCATGTAAAATAGGATGTGGACAAAATCGAGAGGGTGCAGAAGAGAGTGACGAGGATGATCGGGGGTCTGGAGGCTGAGCCCTACGAGGAAAGGCTGAGGCCCCTGGGAATCTTTAGTTTGGAGAAGAGGAGATTGAGGGGGGGACAGGATGGCTCTCTTTAAATATTTGAAAGGCTGTCCTTTGGAGGAGGGCAAGGAGCTGTTCCAGTTGGCAGCAGAGGACAGGACCCGAAGCAACGGGTTTAAATGACACGCAGAAAGGTATTGGCTGGATATTAGGAGAAAGTTTTTCACAGTCAGAGTGGCTCAAAGGTGGAATCAGCTGCCTAGGGAGGTGGTGAGCTCCCCTTCACTGACAGCTTTCAGGAAGAGGCTGGACGAATATTTGTCAGAGATGCTTTAGGCTGGTCCTGCATTGGGGCAGAGGGTTGGACTAGGTGGTCTCTATGGCCCCTTCCCACTCTATGATTTTATGCATAGTTTACCTCTCTCACTTGGTCTCAAGGCAAATGACCCGTAGTGAGTGGATACAGTCTCTGTGTTGGGCAGGCCTTTCCCTGCCTGTGCCATTCGCTTATGGGGTGGGACCCTCGGAGAGGGCCATGGTGTCTGTCTGAGCTGCAGTTTTGCAGGAGAGGTGGCCAGAAGCCACTTCAGAGACACGGCCTGTTTAGGTGGGTGGGATGAGAGAACTGCCGCCCTTCTTCTGGCAGCCTTTCTTTGCCCCTCTTGGTCAATCCTTCTAACGGCAGGATTTGGGCAGGATTTTGCCCTGCAACTGAAGAAGCACCCATTATCTCACCACCACCTGCGACGATCCAGGCTTGTCTGAAACCTGACGGATGGATGACAGGGTTTTGTGTTTTGCTGCAGTTACCGCTGTGATGACTTTGTCGTCAACGATACCAAGCTGGGCCTGGTACAGAAAGTCCGAGAGCACCTGCAGAATTTGGAAAAGTAAGCAACGGATTTCTACTCCTGAGGGCTTGGGTAGTGCAGCAGTTTACTAGTATTCCTAGTCGGCAGTTTGTCTTTGCACGTGAAGGGCACAGACAGAAAATCCAGGTGGTGCCAGTTGATCAACACAGGGCACAGTTTGCTGGGAAACTTTCCTTTACAATGTGTATTGAAATGAGGGCAACCGAAATAGGGGCCTTGGCTAACTGGAAGAGCTTCTGCTTGGCATGCCCAAGCTCCCAGGTTCAGTCCCCGGCATCTCCAGTTAAAAAGGACCAGGCAGGAGGTGATGGGAAAGACCTCCGCCTGAGACCCTGGCGGGCTGTAAACAGGGGCTGTGGCTCAGTGATAGAGCCTCTGCTTGGCAGGCAGAAGGTCCCAGGTTCAATCCCCGGCATCTCTAGTTAAAAGGGCCAGGCAGGCGGTGATGGGAAAGACCTCCACCTGAGACCCTGGAGAACTGTAAAGAGAGGCTGTGGCTCAGTGGCAGAGCCTCTGCTTGGCATGCAGAAGGTCCCAGGTTCAGTCCCTAGCATCTCCAGTTAAAAGGGAATCAGGCAGGAGGTGATGGGAAAGACCTCAGCCTGAGACCCTGGAGAGCCACTGCCAGTCTGAGTAGACAACACTGACCTTGATGGACCAAGGGGGGGGTTTCTAATTCTGTATCAGGCAGCTTCATGTGTTCATCTGTGCCCAAGAGGCACACCATGCCCTTAAGCTGTTCTTGGTGGATTGTAGCTGGGATTATACCTTTCACTGTGTGCTCTGTTAAAATCTATTGCCCCAGATGGCCTCAGGGCAGGCACCGAAATGTCTGGGGCTGGCCTGGAACCCACAAACGCATGGATGTTATGAGGTTCCAGACGTCGGGGTGCCTTCGCTTTGGATGGCAGTGGGGAGTTAAAAGTATCACGTTTAGAATAACATCTGCGTGAGCAGAGAGATGCTCTGGTGTGGGGGATCTGCAGTGTGAGTTATTTCAGAGAGGAGTTTTGATTCTAATTAGGGCACGGGCTCACGGGCGCTTGCTGTAGCAAAACCTAATCAGATTAATTTGGATATTCTATGATTACCAGATAGAATTGGCTTTCAGCGTCGTGCCCCGGGGAACGGAGAAGTCTATTTTGAGGCCACCGTGAATTTTTCACGGGAGCTTTGAGACCGATGGGGTGTGTGTCTGTATTGCATGCGGGAGCACTGTCACAGATGTGACTGCGCGGTTCGGACATTCTGGCCGACCTCTGCCCCTTTGGATCACTTGGTATGTTTTTAACAGCCGCTTTCTTCCTTTGCCACAGTTCCGCTTTCACAGCAGACCGACACAGGAAAAGAAAACTTCTGGAAAGCGCCTCTCTGAAGAGCAAATTACTGAAAATAAACGTAGGTACAAACGTCATTGTTTACGGGGTCATTGAGGGTGCAGTCCTAGCATAAGAGTGTTGGGAGCAAATGCTGTAAAATCCATGGAATGTCTTGGGTTCTCAGTGTAGCTTTCCAGTGCTCTCACCCCCAAGGCCCTCGGATGACATTTTCAGTCTTGGTGCGCTTGATTCAAACTGTCATTTGAAGCAGGCCGATCCTTTAGCCTCCTGTCTGAGTAGCAGAGCCTTCACCCAATGCTAAAAAATTCCAACTGATTCTGTAGAGATGCCCTGATGTTTGGCTACTGTTCTGTTCAGCCTCATGAGACGTTCATAAAATGAGGAGCGTGGTTCCTTTGCTCGGTTGGGAAGCTGGGGTATGGAGAACGCAAGTTCTAATTCCTGCTTTGCCACGATGCTCACCAGCGGGTCTTAAACCGATCCCCCCACCCCCAGGTCTGGCCCCCTGCACATACTCGGAGCTCCTTGGGTGAAGGCGGGGCAGAAATAGCTCTTTGCTTACAGAAATTGGACCTACAGGAGAGGCAAGTGATTGGCGCATCTGCATTACTTAAACCTGCCCCACTTTTCCCTGAGGGCTTCTTTCTTGGTATTTTCTGGTTTGCAGGGGAACACCACAGCCCTGTGTGCCACGGGCCTTCGGAACCTGGGGAACACGTGTTTTATGAACGCAATCCTTCAGTCTCTCAGGTATCTTTTTTTTAATTAGTGCTGTGGGGTATATGAGAAGCTGGACTTCCAAATAGCATGCATAAGAACATGCAAAAGCTCATAAGAACATCAGAAGAGTGCTGCTGGATCAGCCCAGTGGTCCATCTAGTAGAAGAAGAAGAAGAAGAGATTGGATTTATACCCCACCCTTCACTACCCAAAGGAGTCTTAGAGCGGCTTACAAACTCCTATCCCTTCCCCTTCCCACAACAGACACCCTGTGAGGTGGGTGGGGCTGAGAGAGCTCTTGTCAGAAACTGCTCTTTTTCAAGAACAGCTCTGACAGGAGTACGGCTTGCCCAAGGTCATCCAGCAGGTGCTAGTGGAGGAGTGGGGAATCAAACCCGGTTCTCCCAGATTAGAGTCTGCGCACTTAACCACTACACCAAACTGGCTCTAGTCCACCCATCTAGTCCACCCATCTGCCTCACACAGTGGCCAGATGTCCAGCAGTGGATGTCCAGCAATGGGGCGTAGAGGCCAAGGCCTTCCCCTGATGTTCCCTCCTGGCTCTGGGATTCAGAGGATTAGTGCGTCTGAACGTGGAGCTTCTCTTTAGTCCACCATGGCTCTAATTTAGTCCATCAGTAGACTTCTTCCCCATGAATCTGCCTCATCCCATTTTAAAGCTGTCTATACCTGTGGCCATCACTAAGTCTTCTGGCAGCACAGTCTGCATTTTGATCACTTGTTCAGTAAAGAAGTATTTCCTCTTGTCCTTCCTCAATCTGCTGCCCATCAGCTTCATTGGATGCCCCTCGAGTTTGAGTATTTGGGGACAGGGAGAAAAATTTCTCTTTGTCAATTCTTTGTCAGCGTTCTCTCCACCCCATGCATCATTTTATAACACACACACCCCTGGTCCCCAGACTCTTCAGCCTTTCCTCCCAGGGAAGGTGCTCTAATCTCCGAACCGTCTTGGCTGCCTCTATCTGTACCTTTCCCAGCTCTGCAGTGTCCTTTTTGAGGTACAGGGACCAGAACTGCACACAGCACTCCAAAACGAGGCCGTACCACACCAAGGGCATTCTAATATGGGCTGTTTTGTTTTCAGTCCCTTTGCCAGTAATCACCAGCACAGAGTTTGCCTTTTTCGCTTGCTGCCTCACACTGCGGCTAACACTTTTATTGAGCCATCCACTACGACCCCGAGGTCTCTTTCCTTCTTTGCAAGTTCAGACTCAAGAGCCAGTCTGGTGTGGTGGTTAAGTGCGCGGACTCTAATCTGGGAGAACCGGGTTTGATTCCCAACTCCTCCACATGCAGCCAGCTGGGTGACCTTGGGTCAGTCACAAGTTCTCTCAGAGCTGTTCTTGAAAAAGAGCTGTTACTGTCAGAGCCCTCTCAGCCCCACCGACCTCACAGGGTGCCTGTTGTGGGGAGGGGAAGGGAAAGGAGTTTGTAAGCCGCTCTGAGGCGCCTTCGGGTAGTGAAGGGCGGGGTATAAATCCAATCTCCTCCTCCTCCTCAAATAACATTTAGTTGGAATTTTTAAAAAATCCACAGTTCCTTTAATCTGCACCTGCACAATCTAGTTTTGTCAGCTTGTGTTCCTGCCAGTGACGCACCTATACCTGTCACGCAGTTCTAAAACATTCACATTGTACGTGATTGAGCAGCAAACACAAAGCACCATCCAGTGGGTCTCTGCCACCAGCTAAAAGGTGACTCCCGATGCACAGGAAACAGCGAGGGGGTTCTTTCCCTCCCTTCCCACCCTGCCACATTTTCCAGGTTTGTATTTCCTTCTTTTGCAGCAACATCCAACAGTTCTGCTGCTACTTCAAAGAGTTGCCTGCCGTGGAGCTCCGGAACGGGAAGACAGCAGGCCGGCGAACGTACCACACCCGGAGCCAAGGAGATAATGGCGTGTAAGTCAGCCCCCTTCCGGGGGGACCAGCAGCCTCGTGAGGCCGAGAGAAGCGGGGGAGTTTCTGCGCTTGCTTTGGCGTTCTGGTGTTGGTCCAGGAATAGACTGACAAGCAAAAACCTGCACAGCGAAGGGAATCAGCTAAAATATTCGTATTTGGAATTGGTAACCCTTGCATGGAGATTGAGTGACTCTCCCCCCCCCCCAATATTGTTCAAAAAAATCTCACAGTAACGGTACGGGTGAAAACGTCACACAATAACCTGACCTCATAAGTGTCAGTAACTGATTGAACGGTG